AGGTCGAGAAGGCAGAGTGTTGACATGTTGTGGGGTTGTTAACCAATGTCATAAAACAATATGTGTACTGACTGTTTAATGAGAAACTATTTGTTACGTAAACCTCCATCGAAAGTATGATAAATATATATATATATATTTTAAACAAGGGGGAAAATGCAGAACAGAATTTCAAATTCTCATGGAATCCAGACTTTCTGGAGTCATGTAGGGTGGATGAACTCCTGAAACTATTGCCCTGAGACAGTCTTTAAACCCTAAACCAGAATATTCCCCTGAAGTCATCTTAAAACCGGACAAGAGTTTAGCTTAACTAGTAAACAAGGTCTACCTTGAGCACTCTGCTCTTTTAAGAACTATCTATATGGGATCAAACCGACGGCTGCAATCCTAAAGATTAGGTAGGCTCCTTACGGGGTAGTGAGTTTATGCTAATGAGGGAGGAACAACTCAGAAAAGGAGGGTGAGAATGGTTGCACGGCTTGAAGAATGTAATCAATGTCACTAAATTGTACATGTAGAAACTGTTGAATTGGTGTATGTTTTGCTGTGTATACTCTCAAAAATAAGTAAAATTTAGGTGAAAGAAACAGTATTTGTCCCCATATTAAACTCTGTCTGGTACTCTTCTTCTTTACTGAAGTTCTATGGTTCTATATGAGACATTTTCTTTCAGCCTAAAGAATTCCTTTTAGCATATTTGTATTGTAGGTCCGCTGGCAATAAATTCTTTAAACACTTTTTTCCTAATTGTGTCTCCTTTAAAAGTGGTTTGTCTTTGTTTCCTGGATGCTTTTAAAATTGATTGCATTCGGTTTTTTACAATATTATTATGAAGTGTTTAGGTATAACTGTCTTCATATTTGTATTGCTATGGGTTTGTATGGCTTCTGAAACCTGCGGTTTAATGATGCTTTTCTTCAGTTTTGGAAAACTCTCAGCCATTACATCTTCAAATTCTGTGCTGTTATCTTATTCCGCTCATGTTTCTACGTGTACAGTTCAGTGACATTGATTCCATTCTTCAAGCCGTGCAACCGCTCTCACCCTCCTTTTCTGTGTTATTCCTCCCTCATTAGCATAAACTCACTACCCCGTAAGGAGCCTACCTAATCTTTAGGATTGCAGCCGTCGGTTTGATCCCATATAGATAGTTCTTAAAAGAGCAGAGTGCTCAAGGTAGACCTTGTTTACTAGTTAAGCTAAACTCTTGTCCGGTTTTAAGATGACTTCAGGGGAATATTCTGGTTTAGGGTTTAAAGACTGTCTCAGGGCAATAGTTTCAGGAGTTCATCCACCCTACATGACTCCAGAAAGTCTGGATTCCATGAGAATTTGAAATTCTGTTCTGCATTTTCCCCTTTTTGATCACTTAAAAAGATGGTAGGCCTTATCCCTTTATCCTCTACGTCTCTAACTCTTTTTCTGTGCGTTTTGACTCTTTAGTATCTCTGTGTTTCATTTTGAATATTTTCTTTGACCTAACTTCCAGTTCATTGATTTTTCTTCAATGATGTCTAACCTGTTGTTAAACCTATAAAAATTCTTAATTTTAGTAATTGTATTTTTCAATTCTAAAAATTTTATTTGGGTCTTTTACAAATCTGCCCTGTTCTTTTTGATAGTTTCTAGTAATTACCTAAGGAGCCCTGGTGGTGAAACGGTTAAGTACTCGGCTGCTAACCAATAGGTCGATGGATGGGCATTTCAAACCTACCCAGTGGCTCTGCAGGAGAAAGACCTGCTGATCTGCTTGCATAAAGATTACAGCCAAGAAAATCCTATGGGGTAGTTCTACTCTGTCACATGGGGTCGCTATGAGTCAGAATCAACTCAGTGGCACCCAACAACAACAACTGTTATTACCCAAAGTTTTAGTTTTGTGTATTATCTCCTTGAACACAGTAAACTCAGCTATTTTAAATCTGTGTGTGAAAAATCCAGTATGTGGAATTGGGCCAGTTTCTATTATCTACGATTATACTGTTTCCTGTTCCTGCTATGCTACTCTGTCTCTTCAAGTACCTGGTTATCTCTGATTGTGTTTCAGGCATTACATTTGAAACTTTGTCTGTGGAAATAAGTTTGAGGTCTTAGATGATCTATCTTCTTCTTGAAAGAATGTTTTATTTACTTTTGCAAGGCATCTGAGGACACTTGCAATCTGGGATTACTTTAATCCAACTTCAAGGAACTATGACTTTTCTGGGCCACCCATTTTACTTGAAGAACAGTTCCAGCGTGTGAGATAGCAGGTTTCCTTTCAACTAACCTTGATTCCCAAGGCCTAGCCCTTCGTGGTCCCAGTATAAACCAGACGTCATACTCAGAGCTCCCACTTTTGGCAGGACCTGGACTCCAACTTTTGTCTCTTGACTTAAAGAGGACTATCAAAAGGCCACTCAGCCTCTCAGGTGCCCTCTCCTGACTCAGCTAACATTCCCAGGGGAAAAGCAGCCCAAACACCTGGCTCTTGCCTGGATTTTCATCTTCTCCCAGATCTGGCCCAGTAACGGTTCACTAGTTTGTTAGCTCTCTCATGCTCTCGTAGATTTTTTTTTATGTTCTATCCAGCTTTCTAGTCTTTCTCAGGTGCAGGGAGGGGGAGCAGGGTAGAGCAATGCGTGATCTGAATATCAAGATCACCATTGCCAGAAGCAGAAGCCTCCTTAGAATTTTCATTTTCTATTTCCCATGTTTGGAGATTCTAGTTGAGGTTATTTAGCTCTAGTTATTTAGTGTTATAGCAATACAGTGTGCTATGTGCTACTTCTGCATTTCAGAGATACTGAGGGGTTTTTGTGGAGTAAAATATGATCACTTTTGCATAGGTATCATGTTATGGTATCAAGCTCAGGCCTGATAAAAATGAGTTGGTGAACTTTCTATCTTTTATATGTTGTGAAACATTTACAATTACATTTGGAAGTATCTTTACTTGCAAGTTTGATAGACCTAATCTACGAAATTTAGTGATAGCTGTGATTTTTTTTTTTTTTTCCCTCTGTTCTCACAAGTTTCTTGGGCCTAGCTTTCTATATCTTCTAGAATGAATATTGGGAATTTATATTTCCATTTATATCATCAGGTTTTCAAAATGTTTAACATACAGTAGCCTACCATTTCATATTCTTTTACATATGTGGCTGTATTCCAATTTCCTTCCTTTATGCATGCTCTGTAATTGTGTCTCCTGTTTTCTTTTACAGCGTTTCTTTCATAGCATAGGCTTTTCTTTTGATTTTTTAAGACGCTATACTCAGTGAGGAAACCCTGGTGGCATAGTGGTTAAGAGATACAGCTGCTAACTAAAAGGTCAGCAGTTCGAGTCCACTAGGCACTCCTTGGAAACCATTTAGGGCAGTTCTACTCTGCCCTTTAGGGTCGCTATGAGTCGGAATCGACTCGCCGGCAATAAGTTTCGGTATTCTTAGTGAATAAAAAAAGTGAAAATTAAAAAGGCAAACGGAAAAGAGTAGGGGAAAACTGTGTAAACAATGATATAATAATATGATCAAAGAGCTATTTAAAATGAAAGAAACATGGATTGTATTAATGAATGTGTATTTTTACAGGAAATAATATAAGCAGGAAAGGTAGAACACATGCTATCATGCCCACCTAAATTATAACTTTGTAAAAACTTACCTGCATGTTAGCAAAGATTAAACGCAAATAATGAATATAAACACAGTTACAGTTCAGTGAGTCATTGGGATCTTTCCACTTGTTATTTAAATTCACTGTTATTTAACATGCTGTCTCTTTTCCTAGGCATTCCCTGTGGGCCACCCCCAGCCATTGCAAATGGAGACTTCTATAGCAGCGATAGAGAATATTTTCACTATGGAATGGTGGTGACCTACCGCTGCAATTCCGAAAAGAATGGGAGAAAGCTGTTTGACCTCGTGGGCGAGGCGTCAATACACTGTACCAGCAAAGATAATCAAGTTGGCATCTGGAGTGGCCCTCCGCCACAGTGTCGTCCACCTTGGAATATGTGCACACCTCCAAATGTTGAAAATGGAATAAGGGTCTCTGTGGATAAAAAGTTATTTGTCTTATATGAGTCTGTGAAGTTCAGATGTCTGCCTGGCTTCGTCATGAAAGGACCAGGGAGGGTGCAATGCCAGGTCCAAAACAAATGGACACCGCAGTTGCCCAGCTGTTCCAGGGGTGAGTCTGACTAGGGCTTTGAGGGGGCCTACATATGGCACGAGGCATTAGAGGATCAGGAGCTGAGTGTTGGTTCTGGGGGAAGGATGTGTGGTGGGCAGTGTGGGTGAGGACATTCTCTTTGGAAGGAACATGAAATTAAGAAAGTGTGTGTGTGTGTGAATGCACACTTGTGTGTATGCACCTTAATTTTGAGAAGCAAGAGGGGAATTAGCCAAGAAAGGAGACATTTAGGAGTCCCATACTGAGCAATTCTCAGGGCAAAGTACCAGCTCCAGTATCTCTCAATTACATTGAAGAATGATGTGGACTTTGTCTATGTTCAGCCGTGTGATTATCATCTTACAGGCATTAGCTCCTTTACTTTTTACAACAACCCTTTGAAATAGTGTTATTCTTATTCCCATTTGACAGGGAAGTTAGCTTGGTCTTTCAGAGGTTAAATAAATTGTCTAAGTCACATGCTACTAAGTGGCATACCCAGGATTAGAAGCCAAGTGTGTTAGACCTCACGGCTTGAATGCTCTGGTTCTTGCTCTGCTTCTATTGGCATCTGTCGGTGCAGGGGAGCAATTCACTTATGAGCCATAAGGACAGATATCATAGCATGAGAAAGTGGCAAAGACCTTAGATTTTGTCTGCTCTGATCCACCTCCTACATTTTATAATTAGGAATCTGAAGTCAAGAGTGAAAGTAACTTGCTCAAAGCCAAACCAATTTTTCATTCATCTTTAATTAGCTACAGACTAGGTGGAGGTTCAAATGAGTTCTGATGTCCATGGAGGCAGCCAGAACTTGAATCAAATACTCTCTAAGCAATATGCCCTCTCATTACAAGGACTGGCTTTTTTAGGAGATTTTGGGTTTTCTTTTCTTAGGCTGTAATTGCTGGCTTAGCTGTGGAGTGGGAAGTGTTATGGTTCATAATTAGGGACAGCCAGAGAGCTTACTGTTATTCCACCAACCCATGTCAGCCTTGTGTAACCACTGAGAGAGCAGCAAGGAGGACAAACAGATAAAAATAACACCACAGGAGGCAGTAAGAGACATGAGGGGAAATGTGTCAGATAAGACTTGGAAGACCTTTTCGTTGCCTGAAAAACAAGGCTGTAAATTGAGATTATCTTTTTAGGAAATGTGTTGGTAGAGAAGCCCACCAACACTAATAACTATACAGGATAAGTAGCACTAGAAGATCTCCTGTGCCTTGTAGACTGTGAATGTATTTTAGACCTTGTACTGGGGAGAACTGGGTTCTAATTCTCTACTTCTTACTAGCTGTGAGGTCTTTGGCTACATCTCTTCCCTATTCTTAACGTCCACATCAGTAAAATGAGCAGGCTGGAGTATCATTTGGTTTCCTTTTTTATATTTCAACCCCTTTGATTATGATTCCCTAAGGATTTAGCAAAATATATTTCCCCACAACTCATGGGTACTTCAGGAGTCCTTGGGTGGTGCAAAGTTTCAATGCTGGGCTGCTAACCGAAAAGTTATCAGTTCAAACCCACCCAAAGGTGCCTCAGAAGAAAGGCTTGGTGATCTGTTTCTGAAAGGTCACAGCCATGAGAACACAATTTTACTCTGAAACACACCGGGTCGCCATGAGTTGGACTCAACTCTGCTTTAGCTTTTTTTTTAAAATGGGTACTTTGAACCTGTTCTTTCCACAGTGTGTCAGCCACCTCCAGAAATCCTGCATGGTAAGCATACCCCAAGTGACAAGGCCAACTTTTCCTCTGGGGAGGAAGTGTTCTACAGCTGTGAGCCTGGCTATGATCTCAGAGGAGCTGCTTTTCTGCGCTGTACACCCCAGGGAGACTGGAGCCCTGCAGCCCCAAGATGTGAAGGTGCCTAGGCTCTCAACTCATTTGACATTTTTAGCTTGTGTCTTTATCCTCCATGTGCCAACATTATTTCTCTTTTTCTCCCCCTCAGTGAAATCATGTGACAACATCCTGGACCAACTCCCTAATGGCCGTGTACTCTCTCCTCCTAGTCTCCAGCTTGGAGCAAAAGTGTCCTTCGTTTGTGATGAGGGGTGAGTGTGAGCTTGCCTGACCTGGAATAGACACCAGGAGCTGAGTGATGGATACTGACACCCAAGGCAATGGTGTGTGTTGAAAAAGAGGGGCTGGTGGTAGAAAGGTGTTAGAACACACTTCCTGAAGGCTGATTGGGAAGTATAGTAAGAACTAGATGGAACCATTAACAACAAATACCATATAAAGAGCAAAGTGATAAATATACTCAACAGCAGAAATAAAGCAAGAGATGTACAGGTAAAACACTAAGAGTATGGATAAATAGTAATTCAGAGGTATGAAGAGATAAATATTCTAGAGGGGTTGTTTAAAAAGTTTAATATATGAGAAAGTTGTTTATAGGATAATAATGTACAAGAATTGTTTCTGGAAACTTTCAAGCCAATCAGTAGTGTGATTTGAAATAGGAATAAAACAGTAAGTATTTTTTTAATCCAATTCTAGCTCATCTAATCAGTATTGGGCTGTGGCAGTGGGAACAAGGCAACTAATGTTAATGTTCCAAGTAAGATCATTAACCCTTTTCATGAATCAAAATGGTCTCGGGACTATGTTCCAGCTCCATGTGGTAGGTAAAAAGCATGGAAATAGAGCAGAGTTCTCAATACATTCCGAGGACTCCTTGACAAACATCAGATTCCAGCCACCCAATATTATAAGACCAAGCTGGAATTCAAAAGGCCATTGGTATGACAATAAACTAGACATTTTATGATGATTTCCTCCAAAGGGCCCTCTCTTTTCACCTTTTTTCTTTTAAATAATTTGGCTTTACCCTTCAATAGTCTAGCCTGATGCCACAAGTTTCATTCTTACCAAATGTAGTGGCCAGAACACTCTCTGATATCTTTCCTAACACTCTCTGCTTTGCAAACTTAAACCAGGAGCTGTTTCCCTGCCTGATCCACTGTCTAAGAGAGTGAAATGCTGGGTTTTGCATTAGCGGAGAAAGTTCTTACTAATGACAAAAAGGGAAGAGTCAGGGAAAGATGGCCTCCTGAATGTACAAGACCAGCCAAGGAAACACCTGTCTATGTTTACTGTCCCTTCCTCAGTTCGGGCTGGGCTTATGATGCCTGTCTGACTACTGAGCTTTGACAATCACTATTGCTTTGTCCCTCACTGAAGGCTGTATTTTTCTGAAAGGATTTGGTTTCTGAGCCTCTATCAGTTGGGAAACCAAATGAGTTGAGCTTTTTCACCTGAGCTTTAACTTAGGTATTAAATTTTATCTTAGCAGAATGGAGGAAGCTGAGGTCTGCAGATAAAGGGAAGAGAAATGGTGTGCTCACTCATTTACTACTTCTTTTGTATTTTAGGTTCCGTTTAAAGGGCAGGTCTTTTAGCCACTGTGTCTTGGTCGGAATGAAAAGCCTTTGGAGTAACCCTGTTCCTGTGTGTGAACGTGAGTAGAAGGAATATCTGCTCAGGTCTGGATCTTTCTCTTTGTCTTTTCCTTTTTCTTAATGTGTGTTGCCCCATGAAATTATCTCCATTTTTTATAGAAATAGTTATTTGTTGGAAGAACTACAAAGAATGTTTTTGGGGGGAAATCAGCCTGAGCATCATGTGTCCTTGGTATCATTCTGTAGGTACATACAGGCATAAACCCATTGCCGTCGAGTCAATTACAACTCATAGTGACCTTAGAGGACAGAATAGAACTGCCCCATAGGGTTTCCAAGGAGCTGCTGGTGGATTTGAACTGCCAACCTTTTGGTTAGCAGCTGAGCTCTTAACCACTGCACCACCAGAACTCCAAAGTCTATGCTATTAATGGGGAGGTGTGTTTCATAGGTGGAAAGAAATTTATGGCATGAGGCTTTGCCAAATTTTTCCTTTTTGTCGTCAAAAGTATTAGTCACACTTGAACTTTTCTATCCTTTCCTCAACTACTCACTCATCTATGTATTCATTCTTTCAACACATTTTTTAAGCACTTACTATCCCTCACGGGCACTGGGATTACACTGTAAACAAGACAGACTAGTTTCCTGCTCCCGTGTTATGCAGATTCTTGTGCAGAGAGGAAGACAAAAACATGTTAAACAAGCAAACTCATAAATAGCCCATTTAAAATAATACTAAATTCTATGAACACACACACACACGGAGTAGTACAATAAAATGGTTATGTGAAGAGGGATAAGAATGCCAGGAAAATAATAAAATTTCCATTTTAAATAAAGTGATCAAGGAAGTCCTATCTGAGAAGGTAACATTTGAGCACTGATAGAAATTAGTTAACTACTAATGTGCATATATAGAGGAAGAGTTTTCCATATAGATAGAACACAAAGTGCAAAGACCTCGAGGCAGAAATTTCCTGACCTGTTCTATGAAAAGCCTGTTCCTGACTGTTTCTGAGAAGCCAATATGGCTGGAACTGAGTAAGCAAATACAGGAGTGGCAGGAGATGACAGGAGTATTGACCCTGCATCCTGCAAGAACTTAGATTTTCACTCTGAGCTAGACAGAAAACCATTAGAATAGTAGGTAAGTAACATGATCTAACTTTTTTTTTTTTTTAATGGTACTACTCTGGCTACTGTAGGGAGAACTGGGTTGAAAAGGAGTATATCTTACCTCAGGAACCCCCAGAAACAGTGCTAGAGGCAAAGCTTAAATTATAGATTTAATTGGAGTGTGCAACCTAGGGCAGCAAGAGGAAGGAGAATAAAGAGAAAGGTGGAGAGTGTCAAAGAGTAAAATCTCTGAATCTGTTAAAAGTAAAAAGCAAAGGGATTTATTGAAGGTAATGCAATTCGTGAATTGGGGAAACAGAGCAGAGAGGAATCTACCACATGCTCAAAAGCACGGAAGGAGAGGTGTGCTTTTTATAGTAACGATAAGGGAGGGATAGACTTGATGGTCACAGGGTCACAAGGTGGGTATGTCATCAGCAACTACCTTCTCCCTAAAACATCTTGAGTAACCTCATTCTCCTACAATCACATTCCTGGACACCCTCTCCCCTCCCCGCCCTTATCTATTACCAAAACCAAACCAAATGCGTTACTATCTAGTTGATTCTGACTCATAGTGACTCTACAGGACAGGGTAGAACTGCCCTATAGAGTTTCCAAGGAGCACCTGGTGGATTTGAACTGCCAACCTTTTGGTGAGCAGTCCTAGCCCTTAACCATTATGCCCAGGTTTTTCTACTAAGAGTTGCTAAACCAAATTCCTGACACCCACCCTTATCTGATATGAGTCATCTTGGGGCAAGAGCCAGGCTGGTTAAACAAGATGATTGATAGGGACCAGGGCCTTCTGATCCTATGTAGCCAGAGGCCCAAGGCCACATGCATACAAATGGAAAAAAGCTGTGGTTACATTCCCAGGAATGCAGAAGCAGGAGACTGCAACAAAACAGAGTTTTGAGTCAGACCTCATATCAGCCATTTTATCATGCCAGGTACTTCAGTTTTAGAGGTTTGCTAAGACAAGAAGAAAGGAAAGCAAATAAATTAAAGATGTTTGGTCACGTATGTCATCTCTGGAAAGGTCCTATGGAATCAGAATTGTCTGTTAGGAAGAGAAAGAGCAAGCAATTTATCTGCTGGCTCTTTCCTATCTCCTGTCTCTCGTTCACCCCATAGGTATTAACCCCTGACTTGAAGGTTGTGTTACCTGGTCCCTCTGGGCAGACTCTGGGGAAACCAAGCTCATGTCTTGCTTCATGGTACTTCATCTAAGCCCAGAAGTGGTGGAAGGAGCTAGAGTCTCCATGGATCCAGTCAGGTCAGGCTTGGAGGCTGGAGCTGCCATGACCTCCAGTACAGTGGACATAATGGAGGCTCTACAGGAGTCCATCCCTCATCACTTGGGAGGCTGAGAGAGCTGGTGGTCTTAAGAAATGAAGTAATAGTGGTAACGTCAGTGCTCTCTCCATTGAGAAAGTAACTGATTGCCCAAAAGGCAGGTATAGCCAAGCAAATCCGGGGGTACTGTTAAGGGTATAAGTTGGGAAGCTATTGCAACAATCTAGAGTTTTTGACCCAGGATGGCAATGGAGGAGGTGATAAGGAGTGGCAAAATTCTAGACATATTTGAAGGTAGAGCTGGATTAGCTGATGATTGAGACAGAGTGTGAGAGAATGGGAAGAGTTATGAATGTCTCCAGGGTTTTTGGCCAGGGCAAACCTGAGGACAGAGTTTCCCTTAACTGAAATGGAGAACACCATGTGAAGAACAGGTTTGAGAATGGAAGAAAATCACAAGTTGAGTTTTGGTTTTCCTATTAGACATCCAAGTGGAGATATTTAGTAGGGGAGAGACCTAGGCTGGACATAGATGTTTATAAGTCATCATTATATCTATGTTTAAGGTCATGAGACTAAATGAGATTGCCTAGGGAGTGAGTATGGATAGAGAACAGATCCATAGGGTGAGCCTGGCCAATCCAGTATTAAGAAGTTGGAAAAATCAAAAGGAATCTGAAGGAGACTAAGAAACAGGAGTCACTGTGATAAGAGGAAAACCAGGAGGAAGAAGGGTCCTGGAAGCCAAGTAGGGAAATCCTTTTAAGGAAATGAGACTTAGCAATTGTGTCAAATTCTATGGATAGGTCAGATAAGATGAGGACAGAAAATTGACCATTGGATTTAGTGACACGGAAGTAATAAGTGACCTTGACAAAAGCAGTTTCGGTAAAGTGGTGGGACAGATGCCTGATTGCAATGAGTTCAAGGGAGAATGGAAGGGAAGGAACTATGACAGATCACAGACAACATTACTGAGTTTTAATGTAAAGGGAGTAGACAAGTGGGGCTGTAGCTGGGGAGAGAAGTGGAACCAAAGGAGTTTTAGGTTTTGGTTTTAAGATGGGAGAAAAAATGTTTATATCCGGGAACACTCCTAATGTATCCAGTCTGTCCCTTTGTTTATTTATTAAAACAAATAGGGTGCTGCTTCATCTTCTTATCATAACTATTGAAAAATACATGCTTATAATAGATTGTTGTTTAAATACTTTGCTTTCCAATTAGTTGGACATCTTGTATGAATTTCTATACTCAAACTTAATAATTATGTCTTGCATATTTGGAAGTCAGATATTCAACAACCTTAACTTTCCTAGAATACAGCTAAGAAGCATGAAAGAAGGGAAAAAATACTCTCCTAAACCCAAAGATATACCTACAATTATTTACTAGAGTGTAAATATCATGAAAATGGTTAATGCGCTGGGCTGCTAACTGAAAGGCTGCACATTGGAGTCCACGCAGAGGTGACTCTGAAGAAAGACCTGGCAATCTACTACCAAAAAATCAGCCATTGAAAACCCTATGGAACACAGTTCTACCTTGACACACGTGGGGTCTCCAAGAGTCAAGGTCTGCTTGACAGCAACTGATTGTTTGGAGCCACAGTGGCAAAGTGGTTAAGAGCTCGGGCTGCTAACCAAAGGTCAGCAGTTTGAATCCACCAGTTGCTCCTTGGAAACCCTATGGGGCAGTTCTACTCTGTCCTATAGGGTCACTGTGAGTCAGAATCGACTCTACGGAGTACAACAACATGCCAGTCTTTCATTAGTTTATCCATAAGTCTGTTAAGCTGCAGCATCCTTTTCCCAAAACCAAGTTAAATTAGAATGGGGAAGGAGTTGCTCCAAACAGATATACACCCAAAGGAAAAAATGAGTGTTTTTTTTTTTTTTTTTTCCAATGAGAATAAAACCTTGTAAAGACCAACTAGTATCTCAAAAAAGCATAGCTTCTTTGAGCCTTCTGGAATATATACGGGAGTATGAAGTACTATATGACAGTATTACTGTAATCATTCATTTTGATTTTGAGAAGTACAGCCCTGATACATCAAGAAAACATTAAATTATTGACAGGCGACTAGTAAATCTGTAATATATTTTAGACAGCTTTCTTTAGGATGAAGACTTTTTATGTCAAAGACCATGTTTATCTTGTCTTAAAACAGTACTTGACATACAGTAGGTGCTCAAAACATGTTTGTTGAATTAACGGATGGTTTTCCCTTGAATGTGGTTAGAATACTTTTATTTTAAGGGAATAAACTCTCAATTATCCAGAAATCTTATCTATCTGAAGAGTCCAGGATATTTGAGTTTCTTCTGGACTTTTGTAATAAACATTGATTTAGCTGTCATTTTATTAGCTCCATCTCAGCAGAGGCCTAATACATTTATTTTGTAGTTTATACTCCCCCTAAGAAAAAAGGTATTATTTAACCGGCAACACAGTCACAGCACTCCATAATCATAGAATCACCTTAGATTAAAATTTTAATGGAACCAAGAACTCTTATCTTCTTCCTAGAAATCTTTTGTCCAAACCCTCCGGCGATCCTTAATGGGAAACACACAGGAAACGCTCTGGGAAACATTCCCTATGGAAAAGAAATATCTTACACGTGTGACCCCGACCCAGACAGGGGGATGCACTTCAGCCTCGTTGGAGAGAGCACCATCCGCTGCACAAGTGACAATCAAGGGAACGGGATGTGGAGCGGCCCTGCCCCTCGCTGTGAACTTTCTGTTCCTGCTGGTCAGTATCCACACATCCTAAATGGGCTCAGAATGTCTGGACCAAACTGTTCATATTTCTACTTTAAGAACGTCGTGTTGCTTGTGCGCCTAACATTGTTCCATAAGTGGAAGTAGTAAAATTACATGCCATAGCTAAAACACACGGGTTTCTGCAGTGCCAAGCTGTGTTTGAACCGGGAAAATGTTAATAACTCTTCTTGCTTGTAGAGTGATGAGGACAGTGGAGTAAGAGGGGTGGAGGAAAAGGGTAAGGTGAAAGCTATGTAAATCAGGAAGAAAAATGTATTTCAATTAAGAGGACGTTAAAAAAACTGCCGGTGAACACTAAGGTCCTTGGGTGACGCAAATGTTTTGTGTTTGGCTGCTACCTGGAAGGTTGGCAGTTTGAACTCACCCAGTGGTGCCATGGAAGAAAGGCCTGGTGATCTGCTTCCATAAAGATTACAGCCAAGAAAACCCTGTGAAGCTCAGTTCTGCTCTGTAACACGTGGGGATGCCATGAGTCAGAATTGACTTGAAGGCAATGGGTTTGGTTCTCGTTTATGAACACTAACCAATAGCAGTGTAAGTGATTTACAGTCTCCACAAGTTTATACGGGGTACAGGGGCATGCTAAGAACAAAACCGGCAAACTGAATATTTATTTAGTTAAGGCTTTAGCTATCCTTCTGCTGAATGGGTTAAGTAACCATAAAGACTTCTTTGTCTTTGTAGCTTAAGACCTAGACTAAAAGTGTGCCAGTTTGTCGGCTTGCTCTGGGCTGCACCATAATCTTTGCCCTTGAGCTCTTCCACTGTGGGGATGATAGGAAGCAAGGAAAGATGATAGGAACCAAGGAAAGGAGTACAAAAAGGAAATTCACCCAGTCCTTTAGGCCCAACTTTGCAAGAATGGAAGCTGAAGTAGATTGGACAGGTGGCACCAGCCTGGGAATACCACATCAACTGCAGGGGATCCCTGAGAGAGAAGAGCAATCCAACCAGTAAAGGCTACACACCGTGAAAGGCCCTTAGCTTTTCTGTTATCTCCCTCAGTGCTTACTGGTTGGTATATGTCAGAATCCAGTGAGATTTTCTGAAGGCAGATGCCTTGGCACCAGCCTAGGCTTATTGAATGGACAGACAGAAGCAGCTCCTCCAGAGAGGAGGTAACTGAGTTCAGAATCTATTTCACTGTACCCATTCATAAAGAGAATGTAGCATGGCAGAGGAGGCTGCTGGGTGGCTTATTCTGTCCGCTCTGAGAGGCTGCTGAGCATCAGCAGGGGAAGCGAGGTAGAGGAGGCTGCTGAGTGGCTTGGTCTGTCCACCCTGAGAGTTTGCTGAGCATCTGAGGGGAAGCGAGGTAGAGGAGGCTGCTGGGTGGCTTGGTCTGCCCGCCCTGAGAGTCTGCTGAGCATCTGATGGGAAGCGAGGTACAGGAGGCTGCTGGGTGGCTTGGTCTTTCCACCCTGAGAGTCTGCTAAGCATCAGAGGCGAAGTGAGGTGTGTTTGTTTCCTAGGGCTGCCATGACAAATTTCCACAAACTGAGTGGCTTTAAAAACAGAAATTTATTCTCTCACAGTTCTGGAAGCTGCAGGTCTGAAACCAAGGTGTCAGCGGGGCTATGCCTCCTCCAAAGGCTCTATGGGATAATTCATTTCTTGCCTCTTCTAGCTTCTGGTGGCTCCTAACATTCCTTGGTGTTCCTTGGCTTGTAGATACATTGCTCCAGTCTCTGCTTCCATTGACATATGGCCTTTGCCCCTATGTCTCTGTGTGTCAAATATCCCTCTCCTTTCTAAGAACAGCAGTCACTGGATTTATGGCCCACCCTAAATCCAGGATGATCTCATCTCAAAATCCTTTATTACATCTGCAAAAACCCTTATTCCAATAAGTTCACACTCTCAGGTTCTTGTGGACATGTCTTTTGGGAGGATGCCATTCACTCCACTACAAGTGGTGACTGCTATTTAGTGCCAGAGAAGCAGCTTATGGTGGGCACCTCTGACAATAGAGAAGGGAGAAGTACATGGAGAGGGCTGGTAAAATGCACGAGTGCATTAAGACCAACGAATGAGGACATGAACGATTAACTCTGGATAAAGGCATTCTGATGGGTGGCCTGAAACCATGAACTGAAGCTCTCATTTTAGTGAAATGAAAACAGAAAGCTGAATAATCTTCCAAGTAGTGAACACTTCCTAATGAGTAGATGCTATTAGAAAGCACCATCCTAAGATAACTTCCAGAGGAAGGAAATCTTTTGCCATTATCATAAGTCTGTTTCTATGGTCTCATCTAACAGCTTAATTGAAGACAAAGAGGAGGGGGAGTGGAAGTCTCTCTGCTAACTTTGATATTCCTGTGGTCTTGGCCTCCAGGTCACTGTAAAACCCCAAAACAATTTCCATTTGCCACACCTACAACTCCAATTGATGAGTCTGAGTTTCCAGTTGGGACATATTTGGATTATGAATGCCTCCCTGGGTACTCTGGGAGCTCGTTCTCTATCACCTGCCTAGAAAACTTGGTCTGGTCAAGCGCTGAAGATGCCTGTAAAAGTGAGTAGCCCTGCCCTGGGAATTCTTCATATTTGTCAAAGTATCTGTGGGATCTGATTTAATTTGTTCAAATTTTGGATTTAATTTGTTCAAATTTTGGAGGCAAGATGTCTAAGTTTGCCCCAAGTGTTTAGATGGAGGGTGGTCTTGTAAATGATCACTTCTTATAGCTGGGAGTTTCTGCACCTTGACAAGATATTTATTTCATGGGAAAGGCTCTCACAAAAGAGGCATTCACTGTTTAAGGAACACTGAGCTTCTGTTAAGGATGATGAAAAAATTGGAAATGGGTAGTGGTGATGGTTGCACAACATGATGAATATAATTAATGTCACTTAATTGTACATGTAAAAAATGTTAAAACAGCAAATGTTTATATATATATACACACACACACACACACCCACACACACACACACACCCACTCCTTACTTACCAACATAGTTAAGTTCCAAAGACCAGGTTGTTATGCGAAAATCAGCATTATGTGAAAATGGAGGATGGCAACATCATTATATAACTGCCAAATTACATCATTTACATAACACCAAACCACAGAGAATCATGGCACAGCCAAGAAGACACATAACTTTAACCATCACAGCCAGCGTTACTCTTGCCTCACACTTTGGCATTCATTACTGCCACACCTACATTGTCAATGCACAAAATAGTAGAATAGTAAATTTTTTACTATTGTCAAATAATGAGATAGTTGATAAGTGAGGAGTACCAAGCCAAACCCGTTGCCGTTGAGTCAATTCCAACTCATAGCGACCCTACAGACAGAGCAGAACTGCCCCATAGGTTTCCCACAGGTTTGTGGATTCAAATTGCTAACCCTTTGGTTAGCAGCCATAGCTCTTAAACACTATGTATACATATGTGTGTGTGTGTGTGTGTATACATCACAATTTAAAAAAAGAGAAAATTATGTGCGTGTCTTAGTTATCTAGTGCTACTATAACAGAAATACCACAAGTGATGACTTTAACTAACAGAAATTTATTTTCCCATAGTTTAGGAGGCTAGAAATCTGAATTCAGGGTACTGCCTCTAGGGGAAAGCTTTCTCTCTCTGTTGGCTCTGGGGGAAGGTCCTTGTCTCTTGGTTCCCTGGCGATTTTCTTGTGGTGTGGCATCTCCCTTCCCCATCTCCGCTTGCTTCTCTGTACCTAATCTGCTCAGTTTATATCTCAAAAGAGATTGATTAAGACACACCCTACACTAATACTTCCTCATTAACATAACAAAGAAAATCTACTCCCAATGGGATTATAACTACAGGTATAGGAGTTAGGATTTACAATATTTTGGGAGGACACAATTCAATCTATAACAGTGGGTCACTGTGAATTGTGCTTGGCTAACTAAAGGTAAAGGTGACACTCCAATTTTGAGGCTTTTTATTTAGGCTAGTGGGATCAGATGAGTCCTTGGATAGTGCAAATGGTTAACATATTTAGCTGCTAACCAAAAGGCTGAAGTTTCAAATCCCCCAGAGATGCCTTGGGAGAAAGGTCTGGTGATCTACCTCTGAAAAATCAACCACTGAAAACATTATGGAGTACAGTTCTACTGTGACACACACGGGGTCACCATGAGTCGGCGTCAACTTGATGGTAATTGGTGTGGGTGGGTTCAGAGTACAACTCTTTAGCCATAAATAACCGTTATTGGGAGATATAAAGTGGTCTTTTTAAAAATGATATCCTTAACTGCTTGCTTCTGAGGTTATAGTTAGTTTCCTCAAACTGGCCAGCTCTGTAGAACAATCAGAGAACTGTATCGCTCAGTACGCTACACTTCAGTGTGACCCTTATAAACAAAGATAAATTGAACTCTATACCTAGTTCCAAATTCTGCTTCTTTCCTCTAGGAAAATCATGTGGATATCCTCCAAAACCCTCCAATGGAATGGTGCTTATAAACACAGATGTCCAGTTTGGATCAACTATTAATTATTCTTGTAATGAAGGGTGAGTTGGGGGTACTACCTCTTGATATGAGCTCCAGAACAACAATGCCAGCCTCTAACTCAATCTTAGATAGACAAAATAGACTACTGCCACCTGCACTTTAAAAAGTAAGCAACAGGATAAAGGTGGTGGCTTAAGCACAGGCATGTAACCAAAGAACATAAAAAAGCAGAACAATCTGTCTTTCTGTTGCAAACTAGGGGCAGGCAGCACGCTCCTGCCGAATACAGCACATATGCATTCCCTGGGTAAAAAGGAGGAGTCTATCAAATAACTAAAAGGAAAAATGCTATTTGACCCACACAAACATCCTTAACTGAGAACAACCAGTGCTATAGCTGACTTGGAGGAACCTGAGGCAGAGGGGTTGGGAGAGCAAATCTTAAAGCTCTGGGAAGTGTAAGCATTGAACTGCCCACAGGGTGGGGATACTGATGAGGTTCTTGTTCTTGACTTTCCCTTGGAACAGGTAAGCGTGCCAGAAGCCTTTAAAGGACATGAACTAATTTTCAACTGCCATAATAAATTAAGGGGGGAAATAGATGTAGATTGAATCTCCCTGAAAAACTGCCCCTGGTCATCAGCCCCACCCTACTCTATCCAAGGTATTATACCTATGATCCAGCAAGTTTAAAATAGGGCAAATCAATATTTGCCCCTTCTCACTTGGTCTGAACCTGGGAGATTCTAACAGCTTTCCACAGTCTTGACAGATCCCTTCTCACTCCCATTCTGAATAAGCATAGGTCTCTCCATGGTGAGAAAACCAATACATCATTCAATTTAAGATACAAGAATTGAAAATTAGAGACTAATCTGAGAAGTCAAAGAAAATCCCTCTACAAAACAGCATACTCCGATAAACGGGAAACCTTTAGAAATCGCTCATATGCGTTTGTAATATAGAATCTATAAAACTATAGGAGGCATTTCTAAGACTGAATGATCTGAGATGAAGAAAATATACATATGGATGTAACATACAGGAGTCAAATAAAAAGGAGTACTGATCAATAGATTAGATGCTGAAGAGATAATGAAAAATTCTCCAAAATTCATCTAGGATGGATAATACTAAAAACTACTCTCTCTCTCTCTCATACACACACATACACACAGAAATTCCAAAAATTAAAAGAAAGCTGAAAGGATTAATTAGTATATATCTATCCTTAATTTCATATAAATATACTCTGACATACCAAAAACCCTATAATTATTGGTTAAAATCAAGAAGCATGCATGATACATATAATTACAATTACCAAACAAACCAAACCCATTGCTGTCTATTTGATCCTGACTGTCATTACCACTCTACAGGACAGAGCAGGACTACCCCCTAGGGTTTCCAAGGAGCTGCTGGTGGATTCAAATTGCCAACCTTTTGGTTAGCAGCCGAACTCTTAACCACTGCACCACCAGGGCTACTATAATTAGAGTTGGAAGAAGGAAAAGAATACTTGGCATCTTCCTTATTATTCAAAATTGAGTAAATTGGCCCTCTCCCTCCACTCCCCACTATATATATATACACCAAACCCACTGAGTTGATTCTGACTCATAGTGACCCTGTAAGACAGAGTAGAACTGCCCCCACAGGGTTTTCAAGGAGCGGTTGGTAGATTTGAACTGCTGATCTTTTGGTTAGCATCCGATATATATATACGGAGAAGAAAAAATTATTAGCAGATGGTTGTTAAACTGAAAATCTAAAAGAATTAGCTGGAAAACTATCAGAAATAATTGGCGATACCAGTAAAAGATATTCATGAATTACTTGCTTTATATAAATAACAACCAAGTAAAATATAATGGGGGGAAAATATCATTCACAATAGCAACAAAATCAACTAGACACAATTTAACAAGAAATATGCAGGATCTATAAGAAGATTTTAAAAACTTTCTTAGGGGGTAGTTCTGGTAAAATGGCACCCTAGGCAGAAGCACCACGCCGTCCCTCCACAGCAAAGATCCGAAAAACTAAGCC